ACACATCGATGGTTTGCAGACGATTTCCTGCATGGTTTTAGTGGGTGTTTGGGGGACTGTTGTTGCTTTTGGGTGTGAAGAGCAGCAGGGGATTTACGCTTAAAAGTAGATTTTGGGGAGATTTTGTTTTTTAAGGCAGGAAATTGCTGGAACCCTTTTGTTTTGCTGCACACATGTTGGAGTGTTAACCTTTGGAATCTCTCACTCGACGCCGTGTATTTCTAATGTCGCCTGTTGGGGATTTCTTCTAGAGGTCACGAAGTTAAAGTGTGTCTAGCTTTTTTTTTGTTTTCTTAGACACAAATTGAAGCCAGCGTGCCATTAACTTTTGTATGATTTGACCCTCTCAAGATCTGCTGTTTACTTAGAGGCAGTGACTCACACCGTAATTGATTTTAGTAGATTATCATTCAAGCATGGCTGCGTTTGGCTTGGTAGCGACCAGTTTGCTAAAGACACTAAAGTCATTTCCTGAGTAAGTCATAGAAGGTCACGGGGCGGGTGTGTTAATAATCTAATTGGTGGACCACCTCTGAAGAAAGGTCATACACTGCTAAGCAAGAGCATCCAGTAGACCAGAAGCACTAATAGCAGGGACTTTATGGCTTTCTCTGTTATCATGTGGTTTGAAAAGCTTGTAGATCCAGCAAGACTAGCCTCGATCGAAGGATCGTGATAACACTATGCCACTAATAGTGCTTAGCTTTCATTAAAGGGAGCTTCCTCTTCTCATTCAATTTGTAACGAATCAAGATTGTAATCATGCACGTTGTTGTTGCAGCCGTGGGATATCTCTATTAGCTAATGCACAGCCATAGGCTAATGGAAAACATGGAGCTGTGTGCCTCCTGCAAAAATCGTCCTCTGGGACAATTATTCAAAAGGCATAAAAGAAGCCCAATGATTGGGAAAACCTTTTTAATTTTTTGCTTTATAGATTATTTCCTGTTTTAATAATTAGTCATCTGGTACAAACGGTGTCAGATGCCGGAATACGATTTGATTGTTTAGCCTGAGAAAGCTGGTGCCAGGAAATATTTTATCCGCCTGTTTAGCTGTTAGCATTCACCATGATTACCATTTTGTTTTCTAAGAAAAACACATTCAACTGATGCTTTAGCCTATGTCTTAACATATTTGATACATATTGGCATTAACACTTACAATGGTCGCTTACTAATAATACTTCATTTTTAACAAAACTTAATGATAGAAAGTGTTTAGGTTTCCATCACATCCCACAGTCCTCTTTTGGATTGAGATCTGGTGACTGTGGAGACTATTTGAGTGAACTCATCGTCATGTTCAAGAAACCAGTTTAAGATGATTTGAGCTTTGTGACAGGGCGCATGGTGGCCCACTGTGGCCATAAAGGAATGGACACCATCAACAGCGTTGACAATGTGGCATTTAAACAATACTCATTTTGGTACGAGGAGGCAGTAAATGATCCCCCCTCACCATCACACCACCGCCAGCAAGCCTAAACTGTTGATCTGAGGAAGGATGGAGCCATGCTCCATTAAGGCCAAACTTTCATCCTACATTTGAATCAGCAGAAATGGAGACTCTTCAGATCAGATTCCAGTTTTCTGTTGTTCAATTTTGTGAATTGAAGCTTCATTTTCCCCATTTTTAGCAACAGGAGGGCCACCCAGGTTGTATTCTGTTGATGTCTGATATTTTTTTTCTGGTTTTGGCGCTGGTATCACCCCCAATAAACGTGGAAAAATTTTATACCATATTCATATCTGTCCATTAAATACGAAGCTATAGTTTAGCATAAGATAACGCTTAGAAACAACTTGACTGTGCTGATATAGGCATAGATTGAGATTTCATAAAGCGGAGGACACAGGGAGCACATCCTTCCAAATAATTAGATGCCTCCAACCCTTCTTGAACTTTTAACCAGTAAAATTCACAAACAGGCTTTGATGTATGCAGGCGAAATCTTTCAAAAACACTTAAATAAAACATTAAAAAGTCATGTGAAAGAGCCTTGAAACTGGGAAACTTGGGAGTTTCCCAAGTAATTGTCTTCAAAGCCACATTCATTCATGGTCACAATAGAATTGCAAGTAGCGTAAGTGATGTGAGGTAGCCGAAGGTGAGCAACACTAATTAATTAACATCTTTATTTTCGTTGTGCTTTCATGTTCCCATCTGCTGTCTATTAAAATCATGGCCCCAGGGAGAAAATCCCCCACCCCATCTTTACCTGACCCTCATCACGCTGCTTCAGAATTACATAACCGGGTTAGAAAGTACCTTTTGTGTCACTGCTAAATTGCGAATACCATCGACAACAATACTTGGCCGCCCTGAATGCAATTCTTCTACAAGCTGTCAAATTAAAAGGGGCTTGAGTACTTCCTCTTGAGCCCAGTGACCCTGTTTTATTTTTAATTGGCGCAGAATCCCGACTGTGAGGGGGAAATAACAAGTGGTGGGTTTTTCTTGGTTTTTGGGGGGGTGGGTTGTTTTTTTTCCCCTTTAGCAACATGTGAAGCTGCGCATGATTTTTAAATGTGCCACTTACTTGTTAAGAGATTTACGCTTTCTGCTTTTTGGTTGGCTTAATGAAGCAGGATTTCACAGACTCACTGTGCTCGGGAAGATGTAGAAAATTGAGAAGTAAAGCGTGCGCTGGATGGAAGAGGGATGAAGTTAGAGGGAATAACAAGAGTGAAACACTGGAAAAGAAAGCAAATCATCTTTTTCTCTTGCATGTTTTGGGTTTTTTTTTCTTGCTCAGTGGTAAAACACACACAGCTGGAGGGGGTTGGGGTCATGGGCTGTGTTAAATTACCAAATTCACATGAAAGAAACATAATCTGGATTGGTTTTATTAATAGAATTTTCCCCCCGAGCCAAATGGAGAAGGAAGGAGGGAAGGGGCTAAACACTTTCATGTGGAATAATTAAGACCCTTTGCCTTCTCTTTTTGTCTTTATAAATTAACATGCAGGCTCTTGATATCTGCTGTTCCAGCTGTTCAAGGTCCCACTTTACTGTGTTAGGAGAATAAGCCTTAAAACTGCTTTTACATCTTTGCAGTGAACTGCTAGATTTGATTTAGCAGTCCTGTTTTGCTCCTTTTAGTTGACTTGTTTTCTCTTAAGGTAATGTCTTCTGTGTTTTCTCCATCGTGCTTTTCAGTCCCCGAGGATCTGTCCGTGGAGGAGAGGGATGAGCTGTCGAACATCAGGCGGAGGAAGAGAGAGCTGCTCGATGACATAGAGGTGTGTGCTTGAATATATACAGTATATTAACTGGATAGACTTAGCTTCATCTCAGCAGCTAAGTTCATTAACTACAACCGTTGTATATTGATTGAAAATAATTTTATTGCCAAATTAAGGACTTTGCTGAATGTATTTGTTGTAATTGCTCAACTGTAATCCCAGTCTTTTTTCGTTGTCTGTTTGCTGCTGCGGCACTGTGGGCATTTGCATGCTGTATGTAATGCAAATGGGCCTATCTTTGCACACGCAGTTTCCTCATAAGAAAAAAGTTAGTTTTCCACTGCGTACACTTCTTTCTTAGTCCCGTCTCATACCTTTGCTTTGTCCTGCTTAAGCATAAAGAAAACCAACTGGTGCTCGTATTTTCTCTGTGTTTCTCACAGAGGTTGAAGTTTGAGATAGCAGAGGTGATGACGGAGATCGAGCAACTGACATGCGTCGGAGAAAGGTAAGTCAAAAAAGTGGAGATGCTTTGTTAAACAGAGATATTACTATAGTCTTTTTTTTTTTTTTTTACCTTGTCTTGTTTCATGTGGACAGGCATGTCTAAGTGTGGAAACAGGTTAATTGTTTTTAGTGTGGATTTAATGGCAGCAGTGTGTCTCAAAGTTACTCCCTATTTGTTATGAGGCTTTCATCGAGCCCTTCTCACTATGGCAGCGATCTATGGGGATAAATACCAAACCTTTTTCTGGGTTACATTTTAAAAAAAGAACAAATCTTGTATAGTGTTGACAGAAACACCCTTAAAATAACACAAACATATACAATTTTGATTTTAGAGTGTTCCATGACAGATGATGGTCTACAGTAATAAATAGCAGCAACATTTGATTAGATTTTGCCTCATGAAAGCTATCTCTGTGACTGTGGCTCATTGCCTCTGTCTGAGTTGTGTTTAGGATTTGCATGCAAGTTTTGATGACAGACCAGCATTATGGGACATAACTACATACATAACTACACCTGGCTGTATGAATTATCATACCTATTGTATATTAGAATGGGAATTAAAAAGCTTTTATTGTCATGAAATGTATGATGAAACAAGCGTACAGTCATTTCCACAGTAGACATAAAAAAAGTACTTCACATTAAAACTAATAAATAAATAAGACGTGTTTAAAATATGGTGAGGAAGTCAATGTGCTAACAACAAGCGGTCATCCTATGGAGTAACATGAACATGCAAATATTTAAGAACTGCACAATGATTTAAGCAATAATAGACAATATTCTAATATTGCTCATTGCACTTAGCTGTGATATTGTAAAGGAAGGAAATTATCGCAGAATGAGGAAGAGGAGGTGGTGGTGGCCAGGTGATTATGGCACTTATGAAGATGCTCTTTCCGAGTCTGTGTGCCCTGTAGCACCTGCAGAGGGGCAACGGTGTTGAACAGGTGAGAGCCAGGATGTGAGGGGGTCCTTTAAAAGCTGGAGGTGAGTAAGCCCTGCAGGGAGGGCGGAGAGCAGCCTTCTGAGCTGTGTCGAAGCCGTCTCCTCTGCGCGTCGGTGCAGCTCCTGGACCTTACCGTGATACAGAGTGTCAGCACGCTCTCCGTGGAGGAGTGTTAAAAGGTCACCAGCAGCTTTTGGTTGTTGTTCCTGAGCACTCTCAAGATGTAAAGATGCCCCTTTACTATGTTTTTAAAAAAGGAATGTTAGCAGCACATGAAGTGAGTGAAAAGTCCACGTTAGGAGGCAGCTCATTTATTGTCTGGGACCAGCTTTGCCATCACTCGGTGTTTGGTTTAGGAAACAAAGCCACTGACTCAGGGTGGATCAAGGAGACCATGTGTAGCCCTACACGTGTAAGAAAACTTTGTTGATACAGTGAGTTTATTGTCATGCTAGATGGTGAAAATCATTCATGTTTGGAGTTCTTTTTAGTAAATAAATAAAGTCTCTATATTTATTTTTGTGTTGCAGTAAAACTTCCCAGAGAAACAAACAGATCGCTATGGGCAGGAAGAAATTCAACATGGATCCTAAAAAGGTACTCCGCTGTGTTATTTCTCCGGTTTACAGTTTTGTCAAAGCTCTGAAGCTCTTAGCAAAACCCACCACAGCCTTTAAAGTGTCAGTAGCCTTGAAGCGAGTGTGCCGGACTGAAACGCAGTCTCTTCACAGCTGTGAAATCTTGTCGTGATCTATCATCCCGCCATGATTTGAGATGAACAGTCATCCTGCTTTCTCCTCCTCCTCTTCCTCTCCAGGGAATACAGTTCCTGCTGGAGAACGACCTTCTCCAGCACACTCCAGAAGACATCGCTCAGTTCCTCTACAAAGGCGAGGGCCTCAACAAGACCGTCATCGGGGACTACTTAGGCGAGCGGTAAGACAAAGCGTCTATCAGGCCTAGAGAGAAAGTCCTCCTTACAGGAGATTTACACCCCCTCTGTGATTAAAGAAGGAAATTATGGACTGGATTTACTGATTAAAGAGGGGGAACATGATTGACCCCTTTCTAACATAAATCTTTGAGGCAGCGTAGGCGTGTTGTCTGTAAGTCCGCCCAGTAGGACTTATAGCTGGTAATAAAACCATCATCCAGCTTTTTATATCTCAGGTCAGACTGCAGGATAATAAAGAAAGAGACAAGTTGTGACAATGCTGTAACGCAGTAGCTGTCTCAGATAGCTGAAAGACTAGTGAGATGGATGGTGCTATTTTAACCGTATAGAAACACAGGAAGTCCACACCAAGACATGGAAGCTGCTAGAAAACGAACAACAAAGATTCAAAACTGTCCATTAATGAACCCTGTTATTTATTACTGAGCCAGGGATGGGGGGGGGGGTTTATATACAGTCTGTAGAAAAAAGGCATTAAAGAGTTTTATTCTGTCATTGATATAAAATCTAAAATGCAAATATTGCAAGAAAAATCTGAATCTCAAACATTTCTATGAGTTGCAGTAGAGCTGTGTTGTTGCATGCATCATAATAAAAACAAAAAGCAGGAAATGTCAAATGTAAGTGAACTAACTTAAAAAAATATTAGCATTATACATTAGATGTATTATACGTGCCCCTTTTCTTTGACAAAATTAGATTCCAGGTGAGCCACTGCGAGGCCGTCTATGTTCACAGGTCAAAGGAGGCTTGCTTGTTATGCGTGCAATGCTCAGCTGCCTGCAACCAAGACCTAACAACAAGCATATGATCCCCAAGGAGCCAATATAAAATACATATAAAATACAGGAAATCACATAGCACCGAGCGCACTCTGTCAGGTGATGGTGTATCTGCAGGTGGTGAATAAATCCTCAGCTATTTTGACTGGCTGTATTCCTCTGATGCTGTCCCAGCTGGATTTGGTGCTTTGTTTAAACTGCCATTTGAACAGGCTTAATTAAAAGTAGGCTCTTTTATTGCCAGTGTTCAAGCTTATAAATGGATTCTTTTTATTTTCTGTGAGCGCAGAATGTTTAATTGGCGACAGAGCATTTTAAAATAGCTTCAAATAGACTATCTGCTCCACCGCCTGACCCTTTGCCCTTTAGTCCATGCAGGAAATTGCATCAACCACGCGCTGCATTGGCTTACACGAGTAAAGGTGCTGCTTGTGTATCAGCAGACAGATGTAGTCTGACAATAGTGAATCAATGAAACATGCTGAAAGACAGGGGGGTTGGGTGGGGGAAGGGGGGGGGGGGGCTCTGAAGACTCCTTCTATTACTAACAGGCTTTATTCATGGAGGATCATCAAAGAGGCCATCTACCCACTGGAAATCACACTAAGCACAGGATGGGGGTTTGCACTCAGTAATTATCACTAATTAAGCTTATGCAAGGACCAGGAACCTATCATTACATGCTGAGCAGAGGGGGGGGAGGAAGAGAAGGAAAATAGAGACAGAGATGGTGGAAAAGGAAAACAACTAGGAGACGAATTAGTACTATTATTATTATTGCACACTGAGGCACGAATAAATGTAACCTTGCATGTAACTCTCACGGGACAGGAGTCCATTTATTTGGCTGTAGATGACAGCCGAGCGTGCACTGTAATCACAAACGAGACCGAGAACTACAAATAAGCAAGAAGAAGTCATTCTGAGAGTAATTCAAAGAGTGTTTGTTGTAGGTTTCTTATAAGCCAGCACTTTCAACCCTACTACAATTTCTTTCCACAAAAAACAAAAAGCTAAGTCTTTAAAATTCCTGGTTCGGTTTCAACAATATACACAATACAGAGACTACACAGGGGTCAGGATCGTGGAGCCCGGTGTACAACAAATATGATCAGAGAAGCCGTGACCGCAGTCTGAGAGCAGCTGCCGACTTTTTCCTCTGAAAACCCTCCAATGGCCAAACAAAACTCTGACAAAGAGGAGCCTGTATGGGTTTGGTCCTTTTTAGCTGTTTTTCATCAGTCAAACGCACCGTTTACCCCCGTCCTCCCCTCTGCGGTGGAGAGAAACGCACTGTTATCCAGCTGTTTCAATTGCTTCCAGACCCTCACAGCGTCTGATATGAGCTGGGGCACAAATATGAAGGGAATGCAACGAAAAAAGGAGTTCGGATTGTGAAACGCCTTCATGGATTAAATATGATTTCCCCAACCTGTCTAGGTTTACATAGTTTTCAGGGTTTTTATTGCCATTAAACGTTTTGTATTTTCAAAGAAAATGATTAGCTGTTGAATGATACTGTAAACCTGACTTTTACCTTCTTTGTTTTTTTTGGGGGTTTTATTGCTTTCTCCAGGGACGACTTCAACATCAAGGTGCTTCAGGCTTTTGTGGAGCTGCACGAATTTGCAGACCTAAACCTCGTCCAAGCGCTACGGTCAGGGGAGCGATTAACTCAAATATCGAGCAGGAGGGGGGGGGGATAATAATTTCAACAGTTAACTGCATTGTGCGAACCCTACGCCTCGTTATTGCAGGCAGTTCCTGTGGAGTTTCCGCCTGCCCGGCGAGGCGCAGAAGATCGACCGTATGATGGAGGCCTTTGCTTCGCGGTACTGTCAGTGCAACCCTGGAGTTTTCCAGTCGACAGGTCAGAGGCACAACATGTTGCTGTGGTGTAAACTAGTGATTCCCATGTATTCAAGACATTTCAAATCAAATCTTTCAGATTAATAAACTGTTCTTTTGGCATCATTTTTTTTTTTACCCCAGCGGTAAATGAAAGGAAAATGTGAAATCCAACACACAGAAATCATCTAATCTAATGTGCCTGCAGATATACTGCCTGATGATGGCCTGTTTTTATTAATGCATTTCAACCATTAAGCCATAAGAGTTGCTGTAACTAAAGCTCAACAAGGATTAACCAGATTAAAGCAAGTTACATTGGAGCTTATGAGTAAAAAACCAATGCATTATTCAGGGAGGCTCAACCTGTCTTGAGTGATACATAGTGTTGTGGTAAACAAAGCCAGCAGCTACATCTGTCAATAAATAATGTAAAAGGTTTCACAGGAACCTTTTGTGTGCTATACCATGGCAGCTGTATGTGGTCCCATTTTAGCATTTCAGCCAATCCAAATGCTGAAAAGTAAAAGTGCTTGGTGACTAAGCTACAAAAACCTCTTTTTTGATACATTGAGTTTTTGTATCATTTACATACTGGACATTCTTGTGGTACACGTTTCCCCAGCCTGTAACAGAATCTGATGATAGGCAGGCGGGCATTTTTATTATGTGTGTGTGTGTGTGACAGTCGGTACGTGTGTGGGTGCACCGGCTCCTGTTCATTGCCGTAAACTGCGTATCAAGACTGGGAAAAACACAATACGACCTCAGGTTTTTAAAAATTCCCACGAGCAAGCGAAACCTGGGTTTCGTCCAGCTCGACAAGATGGCATTCGCCTCGCTTCAGCACCTTTTTCCCTGTGGTGAGTTTGGTACAGAGGTCCTCATTTGCAAAGTAGCAGGCAGACAATAGACGGCGCGGGACAGCCAGAGCCAAAGTGTGTCAGTGAGAGGAGACAGACAGACGGGAATGAATGATTCATTTACAGGCAGCCACTGGCCCGTGTGAGTCTGCGAGACTGTAAACGCTTCGTTCCTCTGCAGACACACACGCGCCTCTCTCCCTCTTGTGCACACACTTTTTAATAAATTGTAATATTCTTTTTTTATGTAACCAAAATTGATTAAAATCATTAACTGTGATAATTGTATATTAACAGCAGAGATAAATGTGCTCACTGTGCCTGGACATGGGCTTTTTCTAATCCATCGCATCGTGCCCTTTCCATTTCTCTATCTCAGACACCTGCTATGTGCTGTCGTTCGCCATCATCATGCTGAACACCAGCCTGCATAACCCTAACGTCAGAGACAAGCCCCCTGTGGAGCGCTTTATCTCCATGAACAGGGGGATCAATGAAGGGGGAGATCTGCCAGAGGAGCTTCTCAGGGTGAGGATTTGTCTGTACCAAGTGTGTGGCGCGATGATTTAAATGTGCGATTGCCCTGCTGCACGCGCTCCATACAAATGAGACATCTAATTTACTGGCTTCCCCTGAACCACCACTCTCTCTCTATGCAGAATCTTTACGACAGCATCAAAAACGAGCCCTTCAAAATCCCAGAGGACGACGGGAACGATCTGACGCACACCTTCTTCAACCCCGACAGGGAAGGCTGGCTCTTGAAGCTCGGTATGTATGGGGCACCTCAGAGGTGCAAAATTAACCTTCACCATGGTGGTTCATGTTGGTCATGTTGGTTGCAACCGTGTGCTGTATTTTTGTTAATAGATTAACATAAATTTGTGACAGACATCACATAGTGAGGTGCCACAAAAAACTACAAAAATGGTGCCTATGACCAACGAATGACGTTTGCCTGTTACCGCTGTCGCATGCGAGCATGCAAGAATAAATGTTAAGCACCTAGGGTAGACTGACTCGATTAAATATTTCACCAGAATCACTCCCGAATAATTAAAACCTTGGAGAAGCAAAATAATAGCAAATGTAGAGGGCTGGGGTTGATCGTGCTGAAGGTGGAAGCATGGCTGAGAGGATTGATGAGAGGTGGGTAGGCAAGGAGTGGAGAGTCGAGCAGGGAGAGCTGCTGTGGCTGGTGGTGCGAGACAGATTTGCGGGCAGCATGAGCTTCAAACACAGGGGAGACTTGGTTGTCAGGCAAGTGAGATCACAAGGAAACAAAGAGCTAGGCAAAACTAAGTTGGCCTTGGCAAAAGGTTTCAAAGGAAATTTGTGGTGCACCTGCAGCATGTCTGTTTTTGTCTTTATCCATCAGCTTGTGACCTCTCCTCTTTGTTTTGTCTACTATTCTCTTCTCCTTTTATAGTAATCTCTGCATTTTCTCTCTTCATCTTCCTGCCATGGTGTTTTTTATCTCTCTCTTTTTTTCCCTCCCGTGTTTTGGTTCCTCCCTCCCTCCCTCTCTCTGACCTCTGTTTCACTCTTCGTTCTGCTATTCCATTTTGCTCTGTGATGGCTGCTCCCTCTTTAAATCTCTGTATTAGGAGGAAGGTAACACTTTGTCTTCATTCCTCCGCTCAATTCATCACAGAGCGCCCTCGTTCTGACACTGGCTGCCATTATCTCCTTAGCAGAACAGGCCCTTGAACATGCTAACCTGCGCATATAATTGTGTTGTTGTATCATAGCTGTAAATGGGAAAATAAGTGTGTAAGCAATGTGATGTGATGGATTATCTTATTCGAAGTTAAGTCAGAGGTCAATGATCTGGCTCATTCTGCGTGGGGATTGGCTGTATTATTCCTCTTGTGGCTACTGAGAAGGCACGAGGGACACAGCTAAGCTCGTGCTTACGAGAGCTCTAATTTTACTCAGTTTTTCTACGATTTTTTGCCTTTCTCCATACCAAAAAAAGCTGTATAAGCTGGCCCAATATCAGCTGTAGCATTAGCTTCAAAACCTGCACACAACCGTTAGAATCCTTTCTGCAACTTCACTGAAAGGAAGCATAACATTATATAACAGCCATGAAAATATCAGCAAGTGACCCAAAAGGTTAGGCCAAATTACTCGTCAATAGAACGTCAATTCTTTGTAGATGCCAGGAATCATCGTGATTCATACCGATTAGCTGAACGGGTCATCTCATGCTCTCTACCACTTCCCTGCACGTCACACATCTCCTGCTCCTCCTGCCAGAACACGCAGTCGTGCTCGGGCTTTAGTGAATGTGGCTGCTTGTGTCTGCACTGTGGGAATGCATACCTACGGTTGCGTGGCTGGTCATGCAGCGAAACATCAGAGAGCCTTTCCCTTTCTTCATTGTCCTCCATTTGTTCCTGCCCTGCGGGCTTTATTACCTCCCGCTCATTCAGGGATTTCTCTGTCCTCTAGCAAATGAGCTGCAATCACTAGACTGTTTTAAATCTTTTGAATTCTTACAGCAGTATATTGGACTCTAATCACAGCTACATCGACCTCAAATGTTTAAGGAGTTTTAAGGAGCAATGAAGCTCCTTAAAACTCTTGATTTATGTTGTGCTGGTAGTCCCAGGCACAAATAAGGTGAATTAAACAGGGAGGTGTAAATTTAACTGATTGACTTGCCTGAGGGCAGCACAGAGGGTGGCGGTTAGAACTGTTACCTCACAGCTAGAAGGTCTAGGCCATCTGGCCGAGGCCTTTCTGTGTGGAGTTTGTATGTTCTCCCTGTGTGTGTGTGTGTGTCTTTGGACATGAAAGTGGGTTAGGTTAATACTAAATTTCTTATTGTTGTCAATGTGTGCAAACAGTTGTCTCTCTGTGTTAGCTCTGCGACAGGCTGGCGATCTGTCCAGGTTGTACCTGCCTCGTGCCCTATGGCAGCTGGGATTGGCTCCAGCCCATCCATTGATCCACCAACTCAAACTCTTATAGTTTAATCATAGCAACATTAAATATTTTCATAAAAACTACATTTATTTGAGCTTTCTGTAAACAAAACAAACAGATGATGGCTCTATATATTAAGTGTACATGTGGTTCCCTTGACTGCAGCAGAGTAAAACTTCTATTTCGTTAACTAGTCCAATGAATCATACTGGGTGTTAGGATGATAATCTGAGTCACATAAGCATTACGTTATTGATTACATCAGTGACAGCTGCTTTGTGCACGTTTCATCCAGTCAGCAAACAAGTTATTATGAAGATTATATGTTGACATAAGTCCCATTAAGTTTTTATTTTTTGATTACATAGATAAATTGTTTATCATGTTGTTGATTGTTAATTATCAGGAAATCCAATAATCCCAATAATCCATTTTTTTATTCAATGACAGAGCTAGATGGACAGATTGTGGGGAATTCCTTATATTTTGCATTAATGCATTAAAATGTCGCCCTATGACAGCTGGGATAGGCTCCAGCGCCCCCCCCGCGACCCTGAAAAGGACAAGCGGGAGCGGATGGATGGATGAATGGATGCATTAAAATGTTTCCAAGACTGTCACTGCAACAATCACAGGCCATTATTTCTTTTTTTCTGTTGCTTTCTATTTAAAAAGTGTCAGGCTTGTCTCAAATCGGGTCAGGGCGCTGCTTCTCTTAGCTGTCGCATGTAAGCGTTCGTATGTGTCTGTGATTCCTCCTGGAGGAGAAACACCTTCATTCCCCTCCAGACCATTGCCCTTGCAGGCATCGGTCTCGAGAGATTGGGGGATAAGGGTCTGATTCGGTCTTATAATGCTGGGAAATGTTGATTAGAACCAGATGTGGAACATGGAACAAAGGTCCCCTGCAGGTTAGCTTCCACATACACAAACAGATTCACCTCTTCAGTTTACCCTCATACGCTGTTTGTTTCTCCCTCGCAGGCGGCCGAGTGAAGACGTGGAAGAGGAGGTGGTTTATTCTGACTGACAACTGCCTCTATTACTTTGAATACACAACAGTAAGTAGGCAATTTGGTGTGTGCACGTGTGTGTGTGTCAGGACAGAATTTGACCATTTCATAGTGCACAATGGTGAAGGTGTGCTTTGCCAATTCTTAAAACTTAAAACCTCTAGTAACTGTGAAAACGTGTGCACAAGTGGCAAATTTATGCAATTTATATGTAAAAACGACGTATGTTCACACACCGACCTCGATCACACAGTTTCTGTATTTAAATCCACAGAAAATGAAACAGTACTTTTTATTTAATATATTATTATTAGTCATCATGTAGATATTACGAGCCTTGGTACCTTCGGTAGTTTATCGGTTAAGTTTAATCAACATTAAACCAGTTGTCCAGGTGGAGTTTGGGAACAAACATGCAGACATGCATATAATCAATCATCATGATGCTGGTGTTAAAATAATCTATGCTAAGATAATCAGCTAATTGCACTGCAGTCATGACTTGGTTTTCAATATCGGTGGCCAACTCTCAGCAGAATTGCGAGTAAATATAATCTCTAAAATGTCAGACTGTTCCTTTAAGAATGCATCTGTAATAAATTTTCACATTATTTTAAAATATTTAACCCAGGACTGTTTAGTACAGTTCTGTGAATAGATACAGTAGAGACGGATTAAACAAAGGGGCATCAGATTAGTCTGTCACACACACATGCGCGCACACATATTGGCACTGGTCTGTGCCTTCCAGCTTTGCTATTTAACAGATGCAGCCCCCTTGACCTAAATGAACCTCACTCCAGCAATTAACATGAGACATCATAGGAAACATCTGCAAAGTCTGCAACACACATCTGGCCCTGCTAAGCTATAAGCCAAGTGTCTCCCTCAAGCCCATGACCATGAATCCCTCAGCACATACAAACGCCTTCTGTGGTGGGGGGCATACGCAGAGCCAGCTGCGAGCAGCTCTCCCAGGGCATTTCCTCCCCCCACGCTTTGCCACCTTATTAGAAGGAAGATGACAAGCAGGACATGGGGCTGTTCCTCAAGAGCTCTCCCAACACACACACACACATCTGGCCCCGCAGACACAATGGGGGGATGGAGAGAGTCGGGTTACATCTCCTTTGGGTGACCAGGATGAATAAAAACCTTCAAAGTGCTTTAATCGAACCTTGATTTTTACTTAGATGCATTCAGACTTAACATAAAGGTAAAAATGGCACCTAAATAGCAAATGTGTTGCATCAAAAACTGCTCTGGGAAATTTTTGTGACTCACATATTTTTGATGTCTTGTTATTTGAAACTGCCTTTAGTAAAACTCCACGCTAGAAAACAAAAAGTACTAATTGTCTTCAATATTACTAGTGATGATAAAAGTGTGAAGGTTGTTTGCAATTAACAAGACGGCCAGCATAGCCTGTATATGAAAGATGGATAATTAAAAAAAATAAAAATCACATTTTGGTTTTTGTCATTTTTGGGACGATCTGGCTCAGAAACACTCGTCCAGAAGCATCATGCCCCGCTTTATCATCTATTTTACCATAATGGTTCCATAATTTATAGAATAACATCATATTATATCAATCATACCTGAAACATGCAACTGAGACCATAAACTCACCGGAATGGTGTTTATTGAATTCATAAATCAGGTTAGCAAATCGTTAGTTTCTGTCCAGACTACTTTTTAAAAATTGGAGGCTACATCCATCTTTTATATACAGTCTGTGACTGGGTCATGGCAGCCATGCTAGCTGCTACAGCATAAGGCTAAAGGTGTCACAGGTGATGTGACAATGATCCAGGTGGATCTTTTGTCACTGTGACTTCATTTGCACATAGATATGATTATTGTCTTCATTTTATGTGGTGGTAAAATGATGTGCATGCAAATGAATAAGTGATACTGAGGACTGTTTTTCTGTGTCTCTTCAGGATAAAGAGCCTCGTGGGATTATACCTCTGGAAAATCTTAGTATCAGAGAAGTGGATGAGCCGAGAAAACCTGTAAGAAACACCTCCTGTCCCTGCGAATAAACCCTCCTCTCATTTAAATTTAAATTTAAATACCTTTGCACTGCCAAAACAAAACAACACACAAACAATGTGTTCTCGGATTCTTTCATCATGTAAATCAATAGTTTCATGATTTTTCTTTAGAACTGCTTTGAGCTCTACAACCCCAACCATAAAGGTCAGGTAATCAAGGCCTGCAAAACGGAGGCGGATGGACGCGTCGTCGAGGGAAACCACGTAGTGTACAGGATATCTGCCCCCACCCCGGAGGAGAAAGAAGAGTGGATCAAATCCATCAAGTAAGAGACGCTGCGTTAGTGTGGATCCATTTACACTGAGAGGGCACTTAGCCAACGCCTGCCTGCTCCCATGTGGGACTTTCTCATGTCTGACCTTGACTGTGAGAAGCCCACACACACACGGAGCTGCGAGCTTAATCATAACTATGCTTGAGGCTTGAGTACACACACACACACATGCAGGCTGGTGACTAACTGTGACTCATTTTCTCACACTTCCATGCAGATAACACTCGGAGGTGATGTCTGCTCTGCTGGATAAGCACACTTCCCTTTGATTAGCGCGCAACAAGAAAAGGGGGGGGAAACACACACACACCTGCTCAGACTCGGTACACTTAAAAACATAATGACAATTTTAATGCATTCCCATCCAAACACTTCCTTGTTAACCACAGAGAGGAGTGGAGGTGCTGCTGCAAATTGGACCCACTGGGTAGCTTTCGAGCATGCTGGTTATGATCGGCTCTGCTTCAGTGTGATCAATATCAGGCGAAAAATTGTACTGCTGAATCTTCCCCGTGCCCTGATGAGATTTAAAAACCCTTGGTGTGGAGAGATGTTTGATGAAAGTGGGGAAGGTTTAAGGGTGAGTTACTGGAATCTTATTTTGGTGAGCATGGCCTGGGGTATGGTTAAAGAGACTGAAAACTGCTAATTTTCTTGGTTTGGAAAATTTCTCATCGGGGGAGGGGGGGGACTGCTGGCTTGTCGTGGCTGCACATCATGAAGTCTCCTCTTGTCACTTTGGCAGTGGAATGATTACACATTAGACTCAGCGGGGCAGAGCTGTGCTGCCGCAACCACACTCCGGGGCGGCAGACTGTCCTGTGGTCAGCAGATTTCACACAAGCACGCGACTACACGCACACACTGTCCGCCCTGATTCAACCTGCAAGGCTGGAAACTACTGTTGTAGGAACTGTTCTGCACTTGCACACATGTCAGCCGTCATGGTGGTGGGAAAGCGGCTAATTACTCAGCGTTATTCCCATCAGCAATCTGTGACTCCGCTATAGAAGTCCAAGTTAAATACGCCGTGGTTGACGAGCAGCTGCGTTAATGAAAAACTTGAAGTTGTAATTTTTACAATTTTATGGCAGCTCCGTATCACATGTGCGAGGTGAAAGATGCTCATTGTGACAAACCCACACATGATTCGCACTTAACCCACAGTTCCTCTTTGCTTCGTGAAGTGTTGGAGCTTTTTTTTAGCTCGTGTTGACTTTACAGCCCGCAGCTCATTTTGGTTCAGTCTCTCACCTTCACAGCACAGCAGTGCTTAATGCACGCAAAGTTAGCAACTACCTCACTCAAATATTGGACAAGAAAAAATGCACATCAACTTAAAATCTCATGAGCTTGCAGCATGTCTGCATCTTTTTTGCTCCATAATAAAATTCTGTTACTCAATATATGACTTCCACTAAACTAAGATACACAATTATCAGTCGCACAGATTTCTAGCTCAGCGAGTGTGTGTGTGTGTGTGTGAAGAACAGCATTCAGAGGTGTAAGTGCCAGATTTTGGTGCTGATGAACTTGTAGATGGGTGATTTATTTCAACTATACAGACAAAACAGGATGGATAGGATAGAGATATCCAGTTCAAGGTGACGGGAGGGGCTGTAGCCTGCCCCAGCTGTCATGGGGTGAGAGGCAGGGTACATCCCGGAAAAACCATCAGCCTGTCGCAGGGCTGACACAGACAGACTAGATAGAAGCAGTTTTGCTGATATTAAAAATAGGTGTTGTCGTTGTTAAATCTGTTCCTTCCTGTCCTCCACAGAGCAAGCATCAGCAGGGATCCTTTCTACGACATGCTGGCCACCAGGAAGAGGAGGATAGCCAACAAGAAATGATGATGACTCACCCTCACTTACGTCAAGTGTCAGCAGCATTTCTGTCATCAGAGGAATCCTTGTGTGTATGTGTGTGTGTGTTTAAGTCTCAAAGGTGTCGATTCATACGTTCTCCATCAGCCCTGCGGGACATGCAGCAAAACATATGGGACTAACGTGGATCATCCCTACTTCTGCCTGAAGATTTGTCTGCACCTCAGTTCTTGGCTGTTGGGAATTAAAGATTCAAATTCAGTCTGCTACAGACAAAAAATATAATAAAAAAAAAGAAAAGAAGGTAAATTCTCACCGCACTAGACGACAATGGAGAACAGCATGAGGACTTCATGTAACTGGAGATAGCCATAGCTGTAATCATTAGTCTTTTCATCATGCCCTAATGTGAGACTACCCCCTGCTGGACACATAAGGTGCTGCAACACATTGGGAGGATTTGAAAGCTGAATGTTCAGCTCCCAGCCACTCAGACCAACTTGTCTGGTCTCAGCGTTTTATTACCTTCACCTCCTTCGACAACTGCCAACAATATTTTGTAGATAATTCGCAACTACAGAAAGCCTCAAGCTCATCAGTCAGCTGGTCTGATCGATGTAGCCTTTAAGTGACTGTACCTGTATATGCAAACATACTCAACATGGACTCGTACACGTCCATTTACGATATTTCCTTTTTAAAGGCAAACCAAGTCGTGTGTAACGAAGCCCGCCAGCAGTAACGCATTATATTAACTCACATAGTGAAGATCCACCTCTGCGCTCGTTTCTTTTGTATTTATTTTCTCATCTTTTCACAAAAAAAGCAGCCCTCCCCCCCCCGACTCACATTATGCATGTATAGTATATAATTTACATACTGTTTTGTTTTTTCTGTATTGTGTTCACGTAGTGTGGAAATCATAATGGCTGTAGCCTTTACCCGTTCATTGTTTTTTTCATTTTTAGTTTGACAGCTAACAAGTTTACAATAGTGGAAGAGGGTCATTGTGCAGCTTCCCCTCACACTGTTATTACTGAGGTTCAGATAGTATATGTAATATGAAAGAGAATTAGGACAAACCCTTTCAAAATAAGATACTGGAATTTGCTGGAATACGTGTGAATGCTCTAACTGGAATCTTGAGGACCGTTTTCCCCAGACAGATCAAACCGCCCCACAAAGCCAAAACTTTCCTCACGGGTGCAGCTTTCAGCTCTAAGCACGGTTTGGCGTTTGTGCGGGAAAACGGCTCTCGAATACTTTGATGTACACTTTGAATAAAAAATACATGCTGATAAGAAAACAGCTTTTTGCGTGCATGTGAATTCAGCGAGCAGTGCTCGACTCACCAAACTTACCAGGTCTTTGGTTATTTCAAACATGGATACAGTGCTGTGAGAAAATTAGGAGTGAGCTGAGCCCAAACAGCTAGAAAAGTGTTTGTATGTAACAAAAACCTGAATACATAGGAGTGTCGTTAGTGGATCTACATTATAATTTAACCGTAGTGGAAGGTTTGTTCAACAAGAGTCTCATACAGTCTAGTCTATATCATACAAAAGCACACAGGGGCTTTAAAAAGAAAAATCCCTGCAACTCATCTCAATCAGCATTTTTTTCCATTCATTTCAATGCAGCTTGTAAACAAAGTCCAAGACCAAGAACAAATTACAATTTCTGACATTAACAAATGTATTTTAAGGCGTTTACCTTATACAATGTATAAATTCGTACATGCTAAACTTAAAGGTATAACAGCAGTTTTTCTTCCAACTTCTGTCTAGAGTTGAAAAGGAAAAAAAACAAGAACAAAAAACAACCCAAAGCATATTCATCACTGAATTTTTGTCCAGAGAATATGCTCAAAATTAGTTCTTCTAAAAACACAAAACAGAAATCTGAGAATCCTGATACAGGATTTGTTTTTTTTTTTTTTACATATAAAAGTAACTGATATTACAGTTCAAAATTAAATTCACAGTATTTTTTGACGCTAGACGACAAACCGTATCTTTAAAAAAAAAAAAAAAAAGGAAAAAAGTGGTCCACCACCATGACAGCAATAGCGTGGTGCTTCTTTGTTTTTCGAATGTTTTTAAAAAAAATAAAAATAGGGAGAGCGGCATGGCAAAACTAATTTCAAAAAACAAAACAAAAAAACCCTCTGCATCTGGTGAAGAAAGTTAAAATTACAGAGTGAATCTTAGGCTTCACAAATGGGAACGAAGATGAAAATGAATGCTGGGAAATGTTCTCAAGTCTTTCCAGGGTTAACATGGAGGTATCAGTCAGCAAAGCTCTGTTCCCACCACTACACTCATCAC